CGGCTTGTATTTCTGCTCTCTTTAAAATAGCCCATCGAGATTAGTCTAGACTGTGTGATCTAACCCTAGCCAATAGGGGAATGACACAGCAGTAGGGGCAACCTCCATCAGGAATAAGTACCCCTTTCCCTCCCTTGTCCAGGTGTGCGCTCACCATTGCTCCATCTGTGAGGCACACCCTTCTATAGAAGTAAACTGCCTTGCTGAGAGGATTTATCTTCAAGTGCTATTTCTTTTGCAGCATCCAAATTTTACATATAATAAAGTCGTTCCTCACTGCCCTCTACCCCCAGCCTCTGGTGATCAATAATCTACTTTCTTTCTATGGATTTGCTTTTTCTGGACATTTCCTATAAATGGAATCATACAATGTGTGGCCTTTTGTGTCTGGCTTCTTTCACTTACGATAATTCTTTCAGGTTCATTCGTGCTAGAGCATGTATCCGTACTGCTTTATGTTTTATGGCTGAATAATTTTCCATTGTATTATCCATTCATCCACTGCTGAACATTTGGGTTGTTTCTACCTCTTGGCTATGGTGAAAGCTGCTACTATGCACATGCATGTGCAAGTATTTGTTTCTTTTTCTACTCTCAATTCTTTTGGCTGCCTACTCAGTTTCAAGCACAGGGTGGATACATGTTTTGGTGGGTGATAAGGGACAGTAGGCACCTATTTTACCAGAGGGGTGACACTCAAATGGACACTGCAGTGTCATGCTTATCTTCACAAACATAGTCACATGTTTTGTCCTCTTTTGGAGTCTCACATCATTATTCTTTTATAAAAGCCCAAATGACTAGAGTGGAGAAGTTGCAGGGACTCTAACTCAAAGATGGGGACCCTGAGCAGCTTTCAATTTACATGAGTGACTCATTCCTGATGAAGGACTTCCATATAACTAGCATGGGGTCAAGGTTTTTTGGTTCCTTTACTTAATTATAACTTACAGTTTTTTAAGAAGGAGAAAAAGATAATTATTACTGTTAAAAAACACCAGATACTAGGTAGCAGCTCAGAAAATACGTTCTGAGGATAGTTTTCATGACTGAGAAAATTAACTTTCATTTAACATGACTGTTATCTGAAGAATTCCAGTCTTAGGCCCATGTACCCAGCTGTGGTAAATAAAAATTTCCCTAGTTTTGGGGTGTGTAAAGAAAACACAGCTTATCTCCAGTGGCTACCAAAAAGAAACAAACACAAAAAGAAATGGAAGCTGTGAAATGCTAACATCTCTTCAGAGACTTGAAGACATTTCCAGAAGCCTGAGCTTTTCTTTGTAGTCTGGTTGCTATGGCTCTGTCTTCGTTACTGCAAAATACTGTCTGATACACTCTGGTAAGTGGTTACACGAAAGAGTCGATAACCACAGAGGTGCTGGCAGATCCCTATCTTTCAGGCTCTCCTCCCAGCCTGAAGCTTTGAGGAAGTCTTTCCTCCCAGCTTCTTACTGCTTCTGGAGCTGCCAGTAATTACAGGGACACAGGAAGAAATCAAAGAAAATGACACTCAGAAGAAATCAAAGAAAACAACACTGAAAACACATCAGCCAGTTCTCTGCTGAAGCTCTCAGGGGCTCTGTGTGGCAGGAATGCCAAGCTGAAGGTGGGCTGAATTTTGATTTATAAGGAGAAGGTTGCATCTTGCAAGTATTCTGTCTGGATAGCACATATTGTGGGTTAAGATGTGTCAGTGACAGTCTCCAGTCTTCAGATGCAACTTGAGCTCATTATGATCGATGTGAATCTGCATGTTAAAAGGAGACTAGTTGCTGTGGGCAGTAATGCAGGGAGCTTCATGAAATTGCCTTTGCAAAAATTATATCAGTGAGAACAGTATTAACAGTAAGCTGAGCTAACCCACCCCAGATTTTGCCTTTCCCTTAATTATTCCTGGGCTTTTGGGCCAAGCTAACTCTTTGAGAGACATTTATAATTTAAATGATAAAAAGCATCCCGTAAAACTCGATAGTTTTTGTAACATTTATGGGAGGCCATCAGGTTGCAGGGAGGAGAGGGGCCTGAGTCCTGCTAAGATGCAAACAGGAACCATTGCCAGCCATTATTCCAGAGGTTATAAGATATGCAACTTCCCCAATTACTCCCGCAAATAACATCACTACTGTAGAACCTAAGATTGGCCTTTTGAGATATCTTTTCAGGTTTTTTGTGTATCTGACACCCATGGCTCCATCTGGACCCTCCAACATTCTCCTGTGGCTCTACCCAGAAGCAATTCAGCACACAGAACAGCTGCAACTGGTTATGATTTCATCTCCACCCCAACCAACCAGCTGCAAGCCTAGCCACCCCAATCTCTTCCCCCAAAGATGCCTTTGAGAAACCCCTAACCTGTGAGTTTTGGAGAATGATTTGAGTACTAACTCCATCTCCCAGGCGGCATGGCATGGCCAGCCTGTCTATTAAACTCTTTCTTTACTACAATATCATGGTCTTTCTTTGTGTAGGGGGCAGGAAGAACCCCTTGAACCATTACATCCTAAGAAAACATTAAGAGGATCATGGCTAACCACCATCTTCTCTCTGCAGCCCCTCCTCATCTATGAATAGACCTATGACCATTTCTGCTTTGGCCTCCTTTTGAAACTGCCTTTGCAAACACCATGACAGTGAGAGAAGTCTAGCATGGCTGACTCCATCTTGCTTCTAGCCTCACAATCTGGCTATTCTTGCTTATTCCTGGGCATAAGCCAAGCTAACCATGGGAGGAATTTAGTTTACAGTTTAACTCTGAAGCAAGCATGATAATAGTCCTTCCCAGGCCCCTCTTTGTTCAGGAACTAAAACTGCCTTTGTAAAACTAATGAAGGGCCAAAAGATTAGGATTATAGGAGGGGCCTGAATTCTGCTGAGATGTAAGTGTAGTTAAATGATAACCAGCCATTGTTCCCTAACTTGCTTTCTATTTTATTATTTTTTTAAAGAGACAGGGTCTCACTATATTGCTGAGACTGGCCTTGAACTCCTGAGCTCAAGAGATCCTCCCACCTCAGTCTCCCAAAGTGCTGGGATTACAGATGTGAGCCACCATGGCCAGCCTCCCAGCTTGCTTTTCTACAATCTCTTAGTATTCAGGAGTCATGTGACAGATATTACAAGATTTGTGACTTCCCCAATTGCTCCTGTAAATAACATCATTATTGTAGAACCTAAGATTGATCTTTTGAGATGGCTTTCAGATTTTTGTATTCTGGCAACCAACTGACTCCACCCCAACCCATGACTCATGACTCAACTGGTCTTGTGGTCCCCACCCAGAGGCTTACTCAGTACACGAGGATTGTTTTCCTCACCCCTACAATTTCATTCCTAACCAATCAGCATCCCCAATCCCTAGCCCCCTGGCTGCCAAACTATCCTTGAAAAACCTGACCCTCTAAGCTTTTGGGGAAGCTGATTTGAGTACTAAACTTTTGTCCTTCCACTTGACTGGCCCTATGATTATGAAACTCTTTCTCTACTGCAATATCACTCTCTCAGTGAATTGGTTTTATCTGTGCAGCAGGCCAGAAGAACCCATCAAGTGATTGTACTTCCCTTCCTTCCCAGTAGAAGAGGGATTCCTCATCCAGTCCAGGGGCCCCCAAGAAGCTTCCCTCTTTTTGTAAATCAGCTTTATTGTAGTATAATTTATGTACAGTAAATGGTATCCATTTAAAGTATACAATTCATTGAGTTTTGACACCCACAAAACCACTGCCATGATCAAGACACAATATTTCCATCACCTCCAAAAGATTCCTTGTGCCTTTTTGCTGTTCATTCCTTTCTCTCTGCTTCTAACCTTAGGCAACCACTGTTCTCCTTTCTGTCACTATAAATGAGTTTGAATTTTCTAGAATTTCATGTAAGTGTACTTATGTAGTACATACTCTTTTGTGTCTGGCTTTTTTACTCAGCATAATGATTTTAAGAGTCATCCATTTTGTGGGTAGCAGCGGTGGATTGTGCCTTTTTATTACTGAGTTGTATTTCATTGTATGGATACACCAGTGTTTGTTCAGGCATTTTCATGATGGTTGAGTTGCTTCCAGTTTGTGGCTATTGTTTCTCCTCTATCTTTAATTGCTTTCTCTCTTCTGCCTCTACTACTTAATATAGAGATATGCTCAAGTCTCTTTCATGAAAAAAAATACTCTCTTGACCCAGCTACTTTAGGTACTCAGTCTCAGGTTAGTTTGGGATTTTCTGGTGTATTCTGGGGATTTCTAGGCATAAAATCTGAATAAACCAAGCAGGTAAATTCAAGTGGTCTATTGCAGTCATGGGACAAGATAATCTTTTCATATACAGTTTATCCAATCTGGACATTTCTCAGGGCTGACCCACAGTCTCTGGAAGTGGCTGCCTCAAACTGGAATCCCCTGGGTTATTTTTCTTCCTCTTTCTGGACCAAATAACTATTCTGTGTCCCAGTTTATCTCCTGGAAATCAGTCAGGATCTTTACTTATAACTATTTAAAGTTATAACTAAATTAAAATTAGTGAACCAGGTAAAAATCAAAGAATATCATCATGGATGGTTTGTTAGTCCATTCTCATACTGCTATAAAATAGTAGTGGAGACTAAATAAATTATACAGAAAAGAGGTTTAATTGACTCACAGTTCCACACAGCTGGGGAGGCCTCAGGAAACTTACAGTCATGGTGGAAGGTGAAAGAGAAGCAAGTATCTCTTCACAAGGCAGCAGAAGAGACAAAAAAGTCAGGAAAAACTGCCATTTATAAAACCATCATATCTCCTGAGAACTCACTCACTATCATAAGAACAGCATGGGGGAAAATGCCCCCATGATCCCGTCATTTACCAGGTCCCTCCCTCGACATGTGGGAATTATTGGGATTACAGTTCGAGATGAAATTTGGGTGTGGACACAGCCAAACCATATCATTCCATCCCTGGAACCTCTCAAATCTCATGTTCTCACATTTCAAAACACAATCAGGCCTTCCCAACAGTCCCCCAAAGTCTTACCTCGTGCCACCATTAATCCAAAAGTCCAAGTCCAAAGTGTCTTCTGAGATAATGCAAGTCTCTTCCTCCTAGGAGCATGTAAAATACAAAAGTAAGTTAGTTACTTCCTAGATACAATGGGGGTACAGGTATTGGATAAATGCTCCCATTCCAAATGGGAGAAATTGGCCAAAACAAAGGGGCTACAGGCCCCATGCAAGTCTAAAACCCAGTGGGGCAGTCAAATCTTAGAGCTCCAAAATGATGTCCTTTGACTCCATGATGATGATGGTGATGATGATCACGAATCAAGGAGTCTTCCTCTTTGTTGTGTCTCTGTGGTAGAATAAAGACCCCCCAAAATGACCATGTCTTAATCCCTGAAACTTGTGAAGATGTTACTTTACATGAGAAATGGAACTTTGCAGATTTGGTTAAGGTTTTTGTTCCCTGAGGTGGGAACATTATCCTGAATTACCTTGGTGTGGGCCTGATACATCACAAGGGTCCTTATAAGAAAGAAGTGGGGATTGAAGGATGTTATGCTTTGCAGATGGAGGAAGGGGCCACAAACCAAGGAATGCCAGTGGCCTTTAGAAACTAAAATGGGCAAGGAAATGGGATTCTCCCCTAGAGCCTCCAGAAGGAAGCAAGCCTGCTGACACCTTTTTTTTAGCCTAGTGAAAGCCATTTCAGGTTTGACCTCCAGAAATGTAAGATAACAAACATATTCTGTTGGAAGCCACTAAGTGTGTGGTAATTTGTTATGGCAACAAGAGGAAACTAAGGCAAAGCCATTGTAATTGGCTAGGATTCCAACTTCTGAAGCCTGTGTCACTGCTATTATGAGTTCCCAGAGGAGATACAAAGAGAGGACATTCTAAGCAAGTCAACAATGCTTTTTACTAACTACAACCATGGTCCCATGTTTGTAGGTGGACACTGTGGCTTTTGGTGAGCTTTGGTGAGCCCTGGATGGCCCTTTAGGGGCTGAACAACCTTGAAAACAAGAGTATAAAGCAATCTATGGAAAGCTGTCCTTTCAAGGGCCCTGCTTTGCCTATAGCTTTGACTTTTCACTTTTATTTGCTGAGAAGTAGGTCATTCTTGGAGACACTTGAAAGGCAAATGGTGTTCGACTGCACGTCCCCAAAGTCAAGCCTTAGAGTAATTTAATATATATTGCTGTAGCTTTACTCTGAATAGTATTCTCGAGTAGAAAGTCTTTTTGGACCCTAGATTACCACTGATATATGTTAACCCTTGTGTTGGCAACATTTACTTGGATATAATTTATGGATGGATCATGAATGCTCTCCAGAGAAAATGCTAAAAACAAACAGGATTGTATTGGTTTCCATATACTTAATTCTTGCTGACCTAGTCAATATGGGTTGAATATAGACCTATGATATATGCTTTCAAGTATATTTTTTGATATCTTTCAAGACCCATGTGCCAAATACAAACATTTAGAAAAAGTAGCATGTGAGATGTAGAGTAGCACATTTTTAGTATGCAGCAAGCTGACAGCCACACTAGCATGGTCATTTATTGCTTGTTGAATTTACTCAGATCATCTTTGAGTCCAATGCCATGCACACAGTAGGTTCTTCATCAGTAGTTGTTCAACTCACAAATAATTTTTAAAAATATATATGGCTCCATTATATTTTGGGTTTATGGATGGGAAAACTGCAAAATAAGCATAAATATCTGAATTTCCAGGCACTCTGCAGTAGATCAGAAAGTCCGTGTCTATTTGATCAGTCCAGGGGATAAGTGTAAGATGTATCAATTCACCAGTGAAACTCCAGATGGCTCTCCTTCCCACTTCATCATGTCACATCAATATGGTAGCCTGTCAGTTGTTTGACACATCCACAGTTGATATTCTATAGTCTTCAGCTCTAGTAATTTAAATTATTGTACTTTATTTTGAGTATCCAGAATTGTCTTCTGAATTAAGTCAACAAACACAAGCATACACACACACACACACACACACACAAAGAAATGAGTTTACAATGTAGTTGGAAAATTAAAACATAGGCAGAAAATATTACAAAATAAAATATGATGTCATGTGAGTAAAACAGATAATGTAGCTACAAAATAAAGATAATATTTTTTAAAGGTCAAATTACAATGATCGGGTTTGGCCACAAACCTTTCAAAAATACATATCTAGCTTTAATTCATATGCCATACAATTCACTTATTAAGAGTTGTAATTCAATGATTTTTAGTGTATTTACAGGGTTGTGCAACCATCACCACAATCAGTGTTCAAATAGTACATCAACCTTAAAAGAAACCTTGTACTCATTAGCAGTTGCTCCCGTTTTATCTTGACCCCTCACTCTCACCCTAGTCCATTACAAATCTACTTTCAAGTTCTATAGATTTTCCTGTTCTGGACATTTCATAGTAATAGGATAATATGACATGTAGGGATTTGTGTCTGACATCTTTTCCTTAGCATAATGTTTTCAAGGTCCATCCATATTATATGATATATCAAAACTTCATTCCATTTTTTGTACTAATAATATCATATTGTATAAATAGACCACATTTTATTTATCCATTCATCAGTTGTCAGACATTTGGGCTGTTTTTACCTTTTGACTATTGTGAATAATCCGATCAATATTTGTATACAGGTTTTTGTGCAGACATATATTTTCATTTTACTTTAGTGTATATCTAGGAGTGGATTGCTGGGTCATATGGTAATTCTATGTTTAACCTTTTGAGGAACTGCCAGATTGTTTTTCCAAAGCATCTGTATTATTTTACATTCCAACTAGCAGCATAGGAGGGTTTCAATTTCTCCACATCCTTGCCAACACTTGCTAGTGTCAGTCTTTTTATGATAGCCACCCTAGTATAAGTGAAGTGGTATCTCAGTATGGTTGGTCATGATCCTTTTGATAGATCCAGGGGTGCAGGAAAAGGATTTTATGGAGAAAAAGATTAAGAACAAAGGTATAGAGGTAGGAATTCCCTGCCTGCCCCCAGCATGTTAATTTCGTCTGTTGAAGGCAAGTCACTTTGGTTTACACAGAAAATCTGTGTAGGGAAATAGTGGAGGATGAGACTAGAAAAGTCCCTCAAAGGAAAAACTTTATATATACAAGTGGAGGGTGCTACAGGCTGGGTTACTATGTGCAGGAAGCAGTAGAGACCTTGAAGGGTGTCTTTTAATGAAAATCTTGCTTTAGAAAAATTAATTTGGATGTACAGAACTTTGAGGTCAGGTAGAGAGAGACAGATGCTGGATGCATCACATGTGGATCAGCAATGGGATTGGGGTACTGGTTTTGCGTAAGGGATGACAAATGGAAACCAAGGAAACCCTTCGAGTTCTAGCTAGGACTCTGGGAGAATTCTGGTATCCTAAGACAAATAAAGAGGAACAGCTGTTTTGTGGGGTGGATAAAAGCAATTTTCATATTAGAAACTTCAAGTCTGAGGCTGCTTTTGACAGCAGGAGGCTTGGAACTTGGAGAAAGGTATTGGTTGGAAGAGAGGTTGATTGCTTGCTTTTACTAAGGTCCATGAGATTGAGAATAGTTTTTACACTGTCACGTGGTTGGGGAAAAAAATCTAAAGAATATATTGTGACAAGTGAAAATTACATGAAATTGACATTTCAGTGTTCATAAAGTTCATTGGAAAACAGCCATGCCCATTCATTGACATATGGTCTTTGGCTGATTTCATGCTGCAATAGAGTTGAGTGGTTGCAACAGGCTGCATGGCCTGTGAAGCCTGACATATCTACTATCTGGCCCTTTACAGAGAGAGTTTGTTAGCCCCTGGATTAGAGACAAATTTAGGAGGTATGGGCTCCCAATTGTGATTCTTAAAGCTGAAAGAGTGAAAGGGATCCAAATCAACAGCATATAGGAAAAAGGAGCCAGGGCAAGTCCTTGGGGCTGCTTATGTTTGGGGACCAGAGAGAGGTAAAAGAATCAGTGAAGATAGTAAATAAGTTGAAATAAACCTCAATTTAATTAAACATGTCAACTCCCAGACTATTTTACTGCTTGGTACTTAAAATGCATTCCCAAGAGAAAGATTAATTAATATAGCTGCAACATGGGATAGCTATCCAGCTGGAAGCAGGACTGGCCCCTAACAAGGTTTGTTTTTGGCAAATTCCTACCTCCAGTCTTCTCTTCTCCCACAATAGTGTGAAGCATCCCATTCCTGCCTTATTCCCGAAAGGCCTGGCTTCCAGACATTTGTCTCAGAAAGAGGTATGAGACAGAACGTTCCACTAGGTAAATTGTTGATAAAAGCTCAAGTGCAATTCCTGATCAAGGATTTGGACTTGAATAAGGGGACTCTCAAGACACTGAGGAATGACTCTCAATTCTGGAAAATGTAGGCACTATCAAAGGGACAGAGAGTTGTGTGAGAATATGGTGGAGGAAGATTCTTGGACTGTCCCTCCAATCAGGCCAGTTTTATGTGCCACGTATGTAGGGATTAGACCCACCCCCTTGTCCAGTGATCTTGGATAAGTCACTTAAACGTTGCCTTTTGGTAACTCATCTGGAATTAGGGAATAAATTCTAAGTAACTTTTAAATAAGAAGCACAAAAGCATTTGAGTCTTCAGATTTGCTTAATTAATCATTGCAGACTGGCTGTGTCAGTAACAATGATGTTTAGAGGAAAAGGTGAAATTGGTTTCTTTTTCTTTTCTTGGATTTAGTGCCAGGAGTAGGGAACAGGAAGCCATTCCCAGAAGTTGCCTTCCCCTCCCACCCCTGAGTACGTGGCAGAGCCAACAGATGTGGCTGAATGCCCAGGCCCAGGGCCATGAGCACGAACCTATGCCCCGGAAAGCAGGAAACCCATTGTCTTCATGCACTCTGCTCTTTGGGAACAAACACCAGCGGCTCTTGCAGGGGGCCTTTGTGGGCCCAAATTCAATGGAGTGCCTGCTGTCTCTAACCACTGCACCACCTTTCATTTGTCTGAAAAAAAAAACACACACTCCAAGTGCTTTTACCATTTCTCACTCAAAACAACACAGAAAACGTCAGTGACCAAATGTGGTGGGGGGCTTCCCT